TAAAGATATCAAGAAGTTAAAGGGGGGCCAGGGTGGGGGGGCGGGCGGCAGCCTGTGCTCTGCTCTGCCAGAACATGAAACCTCCTATGTAATCTTGGTATATCATTCCCCTTAGTTTTGGGGCTAGGAAAGTGGCCAGCCCTCCTTGCTGGGAGCAGGACCACATTCCTCTTGCTAAGCCTCTGTGGCTCTGAAGGTCTCGCAGGAGAGGTTTGTTGTGGGGTGACCCAGTTTCACGGCAGGACTGTTTTCTGCCCTCCCAGCACTTTCCTTGCCATGCTTCATCCTCCCCTAAGCATGGATTTGAAGCTTTTCCATTAGGAAATCTTGTAACCACAGTCAGCATCCTTGTTAGTAGGCAGGAGCCATTTCATGCAACAGCCATTTCTTAAATAAACTGTGTGTTTTCACCCGAGGTTTGTTTTTTGACCTAAGGCTGTGTATAGTTTTGTTACCTGTGTTCAGGCCAATCCCAAGAAAACCCTGACAGCAAGACTACTGAGCTCAAGCAGCTTCGGGAACCTGGCTGCCCATGTCAGCTGTTTGCACAGAAGCAGCATTTTAGCCAAAAGAAAGTACCCTCACCTCAAAATCTGCACGCCCTTGGCCTGTCCATTGGTTTGGCCATTAGGCAGAACTTTCTGCAAGTGCTTGCTTACTCAGAGGCAAATAAATTATTCCAGTGACTAAATTATAACAACTTTTTTCTTTTCTTTTTTTTTTTGACTTTCACACTCATACCTGTGGGCTCCTGACCGCCAGGTTTTGCTTGTTGTTTCTCTCACACAGGGCCGCCCTGCCTGCGCACTACTCAGTGAGAGGGGGCTCGGCGCACGCGGCCGGTGTGTCCTGTCCGGCGCGGCCTCCCTGCCACCACAGCTCCGAAATCCCCCGTCAAGGAGAGCCATGGGAGACGTAAAGGTCCTAGCACAGTGTGATGAGGCCTGGCTGCTTCTTCGAGAGTCCGGAGCTCGCTGAGCTTCGAGCACACGAAGCTGCCGGGACCATCGCGAGCAGCATTGCCACAG